GAGCACGCCTTGCCTTGTCTCAACCCTGCACTGCGAGAGGGAGCTACGCATGAGGAGCCGAGCGTGCGATCATGGGACGCGAATTTTTCTCATTCGCATTCCATATTATTGTTATTGGCCATTGTCCCAAAATTGATCTCATCAACGGCCTGTCTCCGCTGCAACGGACTCGATAGTCGAACAACCGCGCTTGGCTTGACGGGCGGGCAAGTCGAGTCGAGTCGAGTGAAGAATCTACACGCGCGCGACTCGCGTCGAAGTTGAATCTAAATCTTGAATCAAAATGGGACCGCGCGCACACAACACCCCGACCCCTGCTGATTTGCTTGCATTTGATTGGGTTCATGCTCAGGCACTGCGTCAGTGTTTGCCGTGTCGGACTGTCACGTGAGTGTAAAAGTCAGAGTTTGAGTGTTGGACTTTATTCTTTATTTCGAGGGAGATGTTGAATTGCTTATACAGTACAGTATGCCGCGCGCGCTCAGCGTGTGAGACGCCGCACGCTGCATGTTGGTGTGCTCTGCTGCATAGCTGCTGCAAGCGAGCTGACGAGCGCGAGGCGTATGCATGACATGCCGGTATGCGCGCATACTGTGACTGCTGTACTCTGTAGATTAGACGCGCGCGTGATGGTGTTGCGTGGATGGTGATTCAGGGGCTTTGCCGCGAAGACAAGTGCTGAGCTGCTGGATGAGGGCCCATGCATGCAGTAGGGGTGCGTGTGGTTGCGCGGTGGTGGGGTGGTGCAACATGCAAGGGCCACTCGCTCACTCCCTCACTCAAACTCACACTTCTAACCTCCCTGACTCAACACCACACACTCCTTGCTCCTGGGTCGAATTTGGAAGCAAGAGAAAGAGAAAGAGAGCGCAAGAGAAAGAGAGAGCAAGAGAAAGAGAGAGAGGAACAAGAAGCGTGACACGAATGGCTATTCGACGCAAAGCTGCACCTACACATCCTTCGCCCTTGACAGCCGCATCAGGATCAGGATCAGGATCAGGATCAGGTCCTGCCTACGCATCCATGGCTTCACCTTACGCATATCATCCCGACGCGGCAGGGGAGCCTTCGTCGCCTTACGGAGCTGCCCCTTCTCCCTACGCAGAGTATGCAAACTATGCGGATGAGCAGCAGCAGCATGCTTTTGCGGTAGGAGGCACAAGACATGCGCCCGAATTATCCACCAGCTTTTATAACGAAGCAGCGGCTGCTTTGGCTGGACCTGCTCGAGCTTCACCTTTTGCTGCTGCGACGAATGAGCAGGGCAGAGCATCCCCTTTGCAAGCCAATTTG